AACCTCTCAAATAACCATTTGCGGAGTCTCACCACCACCACCTTCAGAAACCTGACTTTCCTCCACAGCCTCTGGCTAGATGGAAACAACCTGACCTTCCTGTCCCCGGGGACCTTCCACGCTCTCAGCAAGCTGCGAGAGCTGCACCTCAGCAGGAGCTCACGCCTCACCTACCTGCATGCAAACACTTTCAAAGGACTAATAAACCTCATCAGCCTGGATTTGTCCCACTGCAACATCTTCGAAATCCACCCACTTCTATTTTCACACCTGCCTTCTCTAGAAACACTTGATTTAGCCTCCAATAACATGCGGTATGTCCCACAAGCCTTTAGGAATCTCTCCAGCCTCACAAGGTTGTCACTGGAGGGCAACCACATAGAAGCCATTGGCAGAGATTCCTTGAAGGACCTGGAAACCCTGTATGATCTGAATCTCAGGAAGAATCGGATATGGACCATTCAAAACGGTGCTTTTACAAAGCTGCTCAGATTGGGCATGTTAAATTTAGGACACAACTTCATTGCTGATTTGCCTAATCAGCTTTTTGACGGGTTGATCCAGCTCAAGACCATGCACCTTGAAGCCAACAGAATCACTGCTGTCGGCTGCACCTTCAGGCATCTGCTGAACTTGAGAAACTTGTACCTGAACAACAACCAGATCTCCTCCATCTCAGACTCGGCTTTCTTGTACATAAACAAGCTGCACTTCCTTCACCTGAGCAAGAACAACCTCAGCTCCCTCCCCATCCGCTTGTTTGCCGAACTCCCAAAACTGAAGTACGTGTTTTTATCCCAAAACCCCTGGAAATGTGACTGCAAGATGCTGTGGTTCTGGAGGTGGACAGCAAGGCACCGGGGAGCCATCAGAGGGCTGCACTGTGCCTTCCTGGGCCCTCACAACACCACAGCTCTTCATTTTGCCCACCCAGGGGACCTGATGGACTGCACGGTGCCACCTGAGCTGGCAGGTGAAGACAAGTGCAGGTTGGCCAGTACCAGCACAGCTCCCAGGACCTTCTCTCTCCCCAGCAAGGTCATCCTGCTGGCACTTGTCTGCTGCACGTGGTATTTTGCAAGGGGATGGGACACACAAACTTTTGATAGGCTTTAAATTATAAAGTGGAGGGCACTAAATGACTTTCTTGCTGCTTTTCTGTGAACAAGGGGTTTCATTACAGGTGGGTTTTATATGGAAATAGAGGGACTTATTGTATAAGAATAAATGTTTTCATTCCTGGGCAATGCTCACATCTTAAATGCTGATATGAAAAGTCAATGTTAATGTTCATGGGGTCAAGTTGCAACAGGGGAGCTTCAGATTGGATATTGGGAAAAATGTCTTCACAGGAAGAGTGGTGAGGCCTTGGAACAGGCCTTCCCAGGGAGGTGGTGGAGGCACCATCCCTGGAGGTGTTCAAAAAACAGGTGGATATGGTGCTGAGGGAGATGGTTTAGTGGTTGGGGGCTGTGGGGTGGAAGGTTGGACTTGATGATCTTGAAGGTCTTTTCCAACCTTGATAATTCTGTGATTCACGTGAAGAGAAGTTCACTTTACCAAGTTCAGGGCTGGGGTTTGTGCTGGGTGAGGCAACAATGGACAAGGAGAAGGCTGAGGTACTCAACAATTCTTTTGCCTCAAGTCTTCACTCTTCCCACACCTCTTGAATGGAAAGACCTCAAGGTAAAGGCTGAGGGATCAAAGTCCTTCCCACTGTAAGAGCAGATCAGGTTTGTGACCACCTGAGGAATCCAAATATATGTCAGTGTTCCTGCAGCTCAGGCCAACCTTATCCTGAGCTGCATCAAAATAAACATGTCCAGTAGGTCAAGGGAGGAGATTCTGCCCCTCTGCTCTGGCAAGGCCCCTCCTGCAGTGCTGCCTCCAGTCCTGGAGCCTTCAGCACAGGACCTGGACATGGACCTGTTGGAGCAGGTCCCGTGGAGGGTCACAAAAATAATCAGGGGGCTCGAGTCACTCTCCTATGATAACAGACTGAGAACAGACTGAGTTGTGGTTGTTCAGCCTGGAGAAGAGAAGGCTCCAGAGACACCTTATAGCACCTTCCAGTATTTAAAGGGGGCCTATGAGAAGATTAAATTGCACCACAAGTAAAGTCTGTCCTTGGAGACCTGTCCTGCAGCACCAGCATGGCCTTCCCTTGGCTTTGGCTGCTGGTGCACAGAACTCTATCTGCACAAACACCATTTGTGCCTCACAGCTTCTCTGTTTTCCACCTTTGGGAGGCTTCAGGAATTTGGTAATTCCTAAAGCCAGGCTGAGCCCACAAGGCTGCCTCCCTGGCTGTGACCTCGGGCTGGTGGCAGCACAGCCAGGTCCCAGGAACATTGTTCTTTACTGCTGTCTGGCTTTTTCTCCAAGGTGCTTTCAATCATTATGTCTCACCTGACTTCTAAAAGCAAGAATACCCAGGTAACATTGCAGGGGGATAACCACATTTTCAGCAGCTCTCAATGTAGAAACACTTGCCACAAGACATGCCCAGTGTTTACTGAGCATTCCCAGGAGGAAGCAACAGAACGTGTGGCAGACACACCACATTTGTTCCTGTCTTTAGAGGAATTATCCCAAGCTGATAAGAGGTAAGACAAATAAACCTTTGCTTGGTGCTGCAAACATGCAAACCAGCACATTTTGGCAAGAGAAACCTGCTGTGGAATGCAGAGGTTGACCAACCTCTCCTGTTGTACCAGTGAAAGGATCAACTGGGGCTGCACAACAAACCCACACGTGCTGCATTTTCCTGGCTGTCAGGTTTGTGATTAGATTCATGCAAGGTATTCAGTGGTCAATATATTCTTTGCTTACACTTTGTACTGTTTCACCATTTTGATTGTGTCTTCAGCACCAGCCCTCACTTCCCTCAGCTTCACTTACCGTGGGAGGTAGTGGAAAAAAACCCTCTTTCTCTTGCACCCCTTTCTGCTCTCTCTCTGCAATAGAAAAATGCAGAAGTAAAAAAACAAACAAGCAAAATCAACCTCAACAATTGTTAAAGTCCCTACAAATTTATTTTTTTTTTCCACTGAAAGCTCACAACTTGGTGAAAAAAAATGCATATGAAGGAGAGACCATATTTAGGAGGTGAATTCCCACACTCCTCCAAGTATCTGGCTTTGAGGAAGTTTTGAAGTGGCTTAAGCCCCCAGCTGTGCCACTTTGTTGGCCCAAAATGCTGCCCACAAAGGCCAGGCACCAACCTGGGTTCTCCACAAACTCATCCCCATTCCATCAGCAGACAAGCTGCAACATTCCTCTGGCACAAAACACACCTACCTCTTTTCACCAATGGAAAAAAATAAATCATTCCAGACATGTCAGGAGGGGGACAACCCAGACCAGGTTTGTGTAATTAAGGTCACAGATGTTTGTTTACATGACACCAGTCCCAAGCAAATTGTTCTTGATTTTGATCAAAGCCACTGGTGGTTCTAGGCACCTCTGTGCTGTCAGGCCGTTGTTTTGGCAAAGCTCACTGGACCCCCAGGTCCTCACCTGTGGGTTGCACGAGTGAAGGAATTGTTGGATCAGGGTCACCACACCCTTCCAGCACCCACAGCTCTGTTTCAGCCTTGCTGGACACAGCAAGTAGGCAAATATCCCCCCCAACAGCTGCTGGGCATCCTCTCTCCCACCACAGCAGCCTGAAACCCAAATCATGCCAGACTCATGTCAGCTGCCACTATCTCCCCAGACCTTTGATTTCTGGAAACCAGTTCAGATGGCACATCCCTGACCCAGGGAACAACTTTTCTTCCTCATTTCAGGTTTTGCCCTAAAGAGGCTCTTCCCCTAAAACCACAAACTTCATCTTTAGGCACTCAACAGGACTTCCAAGAGCAAAGTTCTACAGAAGCTCCCGTAAGTCAAAGCTTTGCTATAACACATGTTGAGAACAACTTCACTGTCAGTGCTCATTTTAAATACACAAGAGCTCCTCAAGCACATTCTTATTCCAGGGTATCTTCAATATCAATGGACCTGGCAAAACAAAATGTTCAATGAAAGCAAAGCTAAAAGCAGCTGAGGAGAGGCTGCCAGGCTGGCTCAGAGTAAATAAGGAGAGAAGCATGTTATTTAAATGTTTTTATTTCAACTAATGCTTTGCCACCATATTACATCACTTTGAATAGCTTGGAATAGCAATATGATCTCAAAATATAGCAAACAGCTTGCCAAAGCAAGATAATATTAAATCCTATGGATACAGCATCTTCCTTCTTTGGCGACAACATTTCCTTTTGTCTGTAAAAATAGTTTTCTGTTCCAGCACGTTTGCTGTTCAGTTTATTGAACTCTCCTGTTTATAACATTTGCCTTTTCCCTA